ATAAAATGTAGATATCCCCCCCCCCCTTTATTTTAGTCTTTCTAGATGATCTATATCTGTAAACCTGAATGTAAATTGCGTATTTAGTTACTTCGTAAAAAGAATCCCATCTTTAGCTCATCAAAGTATCAATTTTGTCTTTTCCTTTTGCAGAGTTTTCAGAATCCTTGATGGAAATGGGCAGCTGCCTATTGGAGAAAATTGCACTGAATGGTGATGGGGAAAATGGTCAGTGAATCCATGTTTGGGTCTCCTTATATAATTCTATAGTTCTTTTCTTTGTTGGGTTATGCTTGAACAATTAGGCTGGGATCGTTTCTACTGCTCAAATAAAGTTATCAGCTAAACCTGTGCTTCCGTGCAAAGCGTATTTAAGCATTAACATCCTTGCTTAATGTATGCTTAGATATTAGGTGAATATAGAAGTTGAAATAAAAGATTGGATCCCACTTTTTGTGCTACCAGTTCTTGTTAATTCCTTTGAACTTTTCAGTAAGAAAAGAAAAAATTGGATTTGCCCTTTTTAATGCCTGAGTGAATGTTACGCCTTTCGCATTGTTATACCTTTACCATGTAGGAGCTCTACCTGGTTTCATTGGTTTGCAGTCTTTTATTTGGTATTTAAGATTGTCTTTGATCACGATCTCCCCTCCAGGTCAAATGATATCAGGCACTGTAAAAAGTGTTAATTTCCCACTGATTGCTGTGTCTTCCCAGGCCCACCCACATTGCAGCAAAAGGAAAATGGAGTAGAATAAAGTAGTACCAAATAAAAAGAGAAGAGTCACACATTCTTGTCTTAGTATTTTCCAGTGTCTGCTGTAGTAAATTTATGATATCTGTTCCATTATTCTCTTCTCGAAAATCTGATTGCACATGTATAACAAATGTTTTCTATCCATTTCCGTTCCCTTTTTGTTTGCTGAGTTTTAATGAACTTGCCCATAATTCCTCGTTCTGTTATGTGATTATTTCCTTTGTCAAATACTATCTATATGCAGGCAAGGCATTGTCAATGTTAGGAGGAGTACAATTAGAACTTCAGAAACTCGTCGACTGCTATGTCAGTGCCATTCTTTCTCTCATTAATAATCATTGTACCAAATTATATTGAATGTGTTATGACTTTTGCTTTTTGTATTGCAGCGTTCGCATATCATCCTAACTATCACAAATCCATCTGAATCTCTTCTTAGTGAACTTCGGAAAGTGGAGGTTTGTTCTTTTGTGATTCTGTTATTCACCTCTACATCTTCCTGATAGTGGTACAAATTCTGGGAAGAACCAAAATTCCAGATTCAATATGGGACGATTTAATATTTTTTCATTCATTCCCATCCAATNTTGTTCTTTTGTGATTCTGTTATTCACCTCTACATCTTCCTGATAGTGGTACAAATTCTGGGAAGAACCAAAATTCCAGATTCAATATGGGACGATTTAATATTTTTTCATTCATTTCCATCCTAATCAAAAAAGGCGTTTTTCAAAATTTTTGATTGTTTTCTGTATTTGATGAATTGTAAGATAAAAAGGCACTTTTCTTAATTTTATCAATTATTTGATAATTATTTGTAACTTTTCTCAGCTTTCCCCTTTCTCTTTATTGATTGTTAACTGTATCAGTTTTGATATTTATGCGCTTTATTTTCTTATCCACATTTTAGATAGTAAGAAGGCTAAATGAGCTGTACCTTTTCAATAGTAAAGGATTTCCTTTTCCTTCCTTTCTCTTCCTCAATAACCCCACTTGTACCAATCATGTGCTGCAACCAATTAAATAACCAAGAGTTTTTGGATCTGAGCAATTTTGTCATACTAATTCAGCCTAACATGTTCCTGAAACAAATGAGATGTAGTGAGGTTAATGGTTGCCAAATTGTTTCAGCAACTCTGATGTCAAAGTACCAAGAAAATGGAGAGAACCAAAACGAAATTGTTCTGCATGCTACCTGAAATTTCTCTTAATCTTGTTTTCATTTCTTTTGAGCCATTGCTTCTATGGTTTTTTTAATGCAGGTTGGTTTTTATTGATCTTCATTGCCAGTTTCATTTGACTCCAACAATTTGGAAACTATTAATTATAAATAAGCCATGCTAATTCTTTGTCCTGACTGATAGTTGTTTCTCGTTAATTGGTTGAAACTTTTGAAAGTAATATCGTTTGATGATGTTTCTTTTCCTTTTCTTTGTTGTTATTGCCAAAAGAGCTAAATTGGGATAGAATAAGGAAATGTCTACGGTTATGGTCATTCGAATCTAGTGACAAGTTGTGAGACAAATTTGATGATCTCTTAATGCCTTTCACCTAGGTATAACATGAGCTTATGTTACAGTTACTTGATAATCTTCACTTCTTCAGTGTATCTCTTTTGCCGCCTTAGTTGAAGATGTCCTGCATTAGGTGCTGTGATAAATTTTTAATTGGGTGTGCTTGGAGTTGCTTGTAGATGCACCACAACTGTGGCTTCTTTGCTCTCTGATAGATATTAAATTATCGACAATATTGTTACACCAACAATCCCTATAAATATAAGGGCTTGGTTGGTTGAGATTAATTCAATTAATTTGCTGATTTCTTTTTCTCATTAATTTGGTTTATTTAATCAGAGTAGTTTTTGCTAATCCTATAAAACATCAACTTTTACAGCTAATAACTAAATCTGTGACCGGTTTTACAGCTAATACTTCTGTGACCGGTTAATTAAATCAATCTAATAACCAGTCAATCAGATGACCAAAAACAATTTGGTTGATCAAACAAAACAGATCCTATTAATTTGCATCAACCGCCAAAAGTCAGTTATATGAATGGATTCTTCAGGAAGTTGCATATAGGACACTTCTATGTAAGAATTTTTGCATGTTTCCTCGTTACTCAGTGGGTAGTATCCTTTTCCTTGATGCAGGAAATGAAACTGCAGTGTGATGAGAAAAGGTATCCCTCTTCACATGTCTTTTGGCAGATATCTATTTTTCTTTAAAAAATTTATGTCTTGCTAACATCAGGCATGATCTACAGGGAGGTGTACGAGTATATGGCAAAAAGGGGAAAGGGTGGAAAAGGGGAGAACTTTACTTCTCAGCAGTTACAGGCGGCCCGGGAAGACTATGAGGAAATGGCAAGACTTTGCATTTTCCGTGTACAATCTCTGAAGCAAGGGCAATGTCGCAGCCTTTTGACCCAAGCAGTTCGTCACCATGGAGCACAGGTGTCCTTTTGCATTTTTTTTGGGGCTCCATTTGACCCATTATAGGTTATCCATCTTTGTCTTGGATCGGTTAATGATTTGTTTGCCTAATTTCTCTTTTTCTGGAGCAGTTGAATTTCTTTCGCAAAGGACTGAAATCTCTTGAAGCTGTTGAACCACAAATAAGGGTAGTTGCTGAAAAGCAACACATTGACTACCAACTTGTTGAATTGGATGATAGTGAGGATGGAGGGAAGAGCTATGAGGCTAATGATGGTGGTGAATTGAGTTTTGATTATAGACAAAATAAGCAGGAACTAAATGATCCTTTCCCATTGAGGGATTCAATGGAGGTAAATTACCATATTGTTGTCATGCCTCTATTTTCTTTTGTGGAAGATTATGAACTGCCTTCGTTCGGGTTTATCCTGGAGATCTTGACTGTTGCAGCTTTTTGCGGCGTGTCAATTCTTAAATCCTGTTGCCTGCCCTTTGCTTGTAATTAACACAATAAAACTGGCTGACGTAAATATGTTCTAGTTCACGATGCTATATCCATTTTTTTGTCGTATTGTGTAAAGCGATAGGGTGCTTGCTTTTAGCAGAAAAAATTGTCTTTTGGTTTTCCTAATCTTCTCTATGCATTTCTACACAAACTGAGTCTTATCCCACTATTACTAAGGCTAGCTAAGCCTTTTTATTACTGCCTCTGTCCTTCAATTGTATTTCATCCCTTGACTAATTTCTTGTACTCATACAATGCACATCTGAATTCATCCGCCTGTTAATTTGTCCGTGCAAAAAGGGAGAGCCGAGAATGGTGGTTATTATCTGTCTTGGTAGCGATATAGGCATTATTGAATTTTGGTTTGATATGGTGAACTTGTTTAATTTGCTAAATGTTGGATTTTGGTCTAATATGCCTGACTTTGGCAGTTTGATCCGGCGGATGCTCCAAGTGCCCTACTAACCTCTGGGATGGAGGAAGGGGAGGTAACATTCTGTTCTTGTTACTGTTACTGTTACTGTTACTGGTACTCAGTATACATATATTCAGCTATATAATTGTCCTATGTGGGTTCTGTAATTTATTTCGAAAGAGGTTTATTACTGTTTTGAGCTACTTCACACATTGCCTTAGATTTTCGCTTAGATTATCAACTTGTGCGACTTAACTTATTTAATTTGGAAGACTCATCTTGCAGTTGGATTTTGGCAAAAACCAAGAGCAGACTTTTACTAGACAACCTCGTGCAGGCAGTCATTCTGCTCCAATATTTGCGGAGAAATTGGATATTTCTGATAGAATCAAACAAGCACAGACATCTGTCCGCAAATTTCACACATACGTTTTACCAACTCCAGCTGATGCGAAAAGTTTGAGTACAAGGACAAGTGTTTCCCTTCACTCTAGTGTTACAAATCCTAGTGGAGGAACCAACAATCCCTGGCATTCTTCCCCGCTTAATATGGATAATTATTCTAAATTTGCAGAAGGAAACTTGTCAACGGACACTCTTGCAAAAGCCCAACCCACTGCTAATAATCTCTCCGCCCCACTACCCCCGCCTCTTGCTGAGGGAACTTCTTTCCCACAATATGATGTACAAAATGGACTTGATGCTAGAAAAATAAGACGACTTGCTTTCTCAGGTCCATTATCAAGTAAACCTTCATCGGGCAAGCCTTTGTTATCTGCCAGCGGACCTATTGGCTTGGCTGAACGGCCTCTTCTAGAACCTGGATTGGCCTCTGGAGTACCAATAACTCAGCCACCATCAACTCTAGATGTATCCTACAGTGCTTCACCTCCCCTTGTTTCTTCACCAAAAATTAGTGAGCTTCATGAGCTCCCGCGGCCTCCTGGCTTATTGGCCTCCAAGCCATCAAGTTCAACTGCAGTTGGGCACTCTGCGCCCCTAGTCAACAGAAATCGAGAAATGTCTCCAACAAATCAGAGTCCTGTGCTGGCATCAAATACGGGTTCTCCACTACCACTTCCTCCACTAACCATTCCTCGAAGTTTTTCTATACCGTCCAACAATCAGAGAGCAATGGCGCTACATGTAGCCCAGCTGCTAGAGTCTCCTCAAAGAAAGGGCAAGGGTGATGTAATGTGCTCTCCTCCATTAACACCTATATCTCTTTCAAACGCTTCAAATTCTGGGCAAATCAGAGGTAAAATATCTTGATTATAATTACTAGGCAACTATATTGTTTCCAGATGGATTATTTCTTTTTCCGAGCAAATGATAAATTCTACAGTGAGCCTCTTATCTGTGAACCTGATATTGAAGGATCTGCCTCTGTTGTTTTTTTTTTNGAGGCAGATAGGAGAATGCATTGTTTTTATGTGTTGATTGCTCAATTTATTCCTTTCCCCCCTTGTCTTTTGACATCTAAATGTCGGTGGATGCAGGTAGGAGCTGATTTACGTAAGGCTTTGCAAAAAGTGACATTTTTTTTTTCTTTTGGGTTCGGGGTGTAGAGTTTTTTCCCCACAAGCTGGTGTTGCGGGAGTGGGATTTGTACATATGTTATTAATGTAAGTTTTTATTTTTTGTCCATTTGACGTTCTCCATATATCTTACACGAATGTAATGGAAGCTCCCTGTCTCAGTTTTGATCTCGTGGTGTTTGATACCGGAGTGTTCTTTACACTGCCTTCTCCACCCTTTCTAGCGTTTGGAGAAGCCTTGAAAAGGAAAAATCAGATTAAGAATAAATCTCAGTTATGTTCTTAATAAGGTATGTAGTCCAGTAATTATTCAATATCTGGTCGATGAGAGATGACAAGTAGACTAGTGGGGACGCATAAACTGGTTCTAACACCATTGTTGTGAAAGGAAAACTAGTAGTATAATGTTTAACTGGTAAATCTGAGCACAAGGCAGTTTATTTCCGACAGGAAGTAAAAAGAAATGCAACATAGGGTTAAATTGAAAGCGAAAACGAGTATCTATACTACTATAAAAGCAGGAATCCTCTAAACTAAAAGTTTAATTACTTAATTGCCCATGTTATTAGCCTAATTAACCAAACTTCTTATGACTCACTGGTTAATATTAGTCTATTGTGACAGTTTCTTTTGGATAGGGATATTCGACCATTTTAGTTTATTTAAAGATTTTGTGGTGCTTTGTTTTATAAAAGAGAAGGGAAGTTTCTTCCGGTGAATCACGTCTTCAACTTTGCTACTTTAGACTTTTGCCTTTTATTATCTTGTTTGTGTTTTCTGCCAATATAAATCATTTATTGTTGGTCATAAACTTATGTTCACCAAATTACACGTTACTGATTATTTATGATGAGGTAAAACAAATGATTTAATTTCTTAATTTCTTGATAAGATGAATAGATCATGTCCTACGGTATTATGCAAATTGAGAGCATGCTTCTCTATGTGTTTTTTGTACAATTTCTTTGTGTCCTTATCTGATTCTATGTAATGCTCATAAGTGATGATATTTTATTACTATCTTTTGATCATTGCAAAATTTTTGGAATAACTTAAGATTTTTATTACAACTTAACTCATTAATAGATCTTCTACTGATCCTGATTTTAGAATAAGGCTGTAGAAACTACTATAGTCATAGTCTATAAGTTGAGAACCATGTATATAAATGAATACCCTAAAAAATGACAAATGAGAAGTATTAGTTTTTTTTTTTGCTAATAGAAGTATTAGGTTGAAGTTTGTCTCTGTGCTCTTTGGGAGTGGAAATATAACAAAGACAACCAAAGAATGAAAGAATATTAAGTGATGGGCAATATATTGTGGATGAGAATTCCCAAGTAAGACATATAATCTCATTAATTAGAAAGAAAACGAGTGCTTCAAACGAGAAATAGATATAAATACCATCAAAGATGAGATACTTGCCATAGCTTGTACATGAGGCATTTGTTAGGAGCGAACTTTTAGATTTTGGCGTAAGTTCGGAATGAACATTCATTCGAAAATTGTCTTGGTCAGTAGAGATGAAACTTTTCCTTGAAAATTGACGCCAGTGTATATATTATTTGCTTTTGGATATCACTTAGTTAATAGTACTCAATAATCATGTAGATAATACTCCAATTTAAGACTATTCATGTATTCTACTCAACTATTTCTTTCCTGATCAAAATTCACTCTTCTCTCCTCTTGATTCTATATATTTAATATTTATTTTTATTTGCAAAGAAATAGTTGGCATGCACTTCGTGTTTTAATTGTTCTTGTCTTCTTGAAATTGTATTTTTTTTTATCAGTTTAGAAAATTGTACCTTCCATGAATCGGCCAATTATTGAATATAAAAGTCAAAGATATTGGTTAAATGTATTTGTTGTGTTAATCCTGCAAAAATATACCTCGACTTTATACACACTAGATGCGAGTAATCATTTTACATGAAATTTATGTGGACTAAGAGTACCAACATTCACATTTTCCTAATTAGACACTTGANCTAGACTTCATATGTTCTTGATAGATTAAGCACTTCATATTTTGTTGTTTTTTTCTCTTTTGTGTTGATGGATCACCACATAAATTCTCCTTTTTGCGAAAATAAAGTTCTAGATTTGCATGCAATTTCTACAGAGCATACTAGGTTTCAGTTTCTCTTACGTCCATCATCTATTTTTCAGTGTTAGATTTGAAGGATTGCTAGGAATAGAAACAAGCAACTCTCTAGCCAATTAGTTCTGTCAAGAACAGGATATGTAAACTTAACATATTTTTCAACAAGGGGGTCAAAATATAAAAAATTAAACACATGAAAAAGCCAAGGAGATTCAAAATACAATAAACATGTGTAAACGAAAAAAAAATTACCGAGCAATAACAATATAATATTTCCTTGACACTCCTTGGTTAAACGCGGCTTTGCACTTCTCACATGAGCACCTTTACATAGTAATTTCAAGAGGATTATCAATGTCGACAAAAAGAGTCCTGGTCATGATAAACTAACAACAGATGAAACGAGCATACTTTAGGAATATTTTCTCTAGTTAAACTTTGATCATTCATTTTCATAGGTTCAAATGATATCCAATCATCTTGACCTCGACGAAAAAATCAATATGCGACAATTCACATTAATCTATCACAAAAAAATGTATTTTTTCCATTAATGTATACTTATATACTCAAAGATTTGTTATAATAATATCAATATTATTTTATGAAGTTGTGTATATCATGACTCGGCATACACGTGCAACGCACGTGCCGAGAAACTAGTATAATCTATAAAGTTTGAATAGGTCAGAGCCCGTTTGGAAATACAATTTTTTTCACTTTTTTCGATTTTTTTTTGTTTTTTTTCGAAATCAGTGTTTGGCCATAAAATTTTTAATTTTCACTTGATATAAATTTTTCGAAAATTTGAAAAACTTTGAAAAACTGTTTTTCAAAATTTTCGCTCAGATCACTCACAAAACTTAAAAAACAATCCAAAATTATATTCATGTTCAAACACAAGTCTAATTTTCAAATATCATTTTCAGTTGAAATTATTTTTTTACTTTTTTTTTTTTTGAATTTTACAATTCATACGTCCAAACGCCCACTCAGTAATGTCATTAATAGAAAATTTAAAAATATTTATGTGCCTACTTTTTCACTTGTACTATACCTTACATTGAAGTTAGGCCGGAAAAAGACAAAAAGGGGAAAAAATAAAATTGTAAAAATTGATGGAGGAATGTAGAAGTGAAGATAAAGAGGCGAATAGGAGCGAAAAACAATTGGGCATAGAAAATGAAACTATTCCAATTGCCTCAGCAATTGTGGCTGCAACAACCATACGCCGGCAAGTCCCGCCATTCTCAGCCTCCTCATCTTCCTTATTCAATTCCCTCTCTCAGGCTCAAAATTCGCACCTTCGCACTTTCCGACCCTGGTGCTTCCGGTGAGCTATACAGTTTTCATTCCTTCTCTCTTCTTTCCGTTATAGTCGCATACCAAGTGCTTGATATTGGTTCCCTCAAAGCAGATTCGAAAATCTTATATACTTAGCAGTGTTATAGTACATTATGCGTTACTCAATTGTAGTAATGGGTGCAAAGTAAGTAACTGTTTAAAATTGTCTTACTTATATATAGAGTTCGTCTAGTTCAAAGCAGTGCATGGATGAGCTCATCCACATCCAATTCACCACTAGTTCTTTCCCGATGTTGATTTCACGCTCTAATTTGGGGAAAAAGAAATGTTACGTAACCTGTCTGTTAGGATCGGGAACCCGGGTAGTGCGGAATTTAGCCAAACAACGATGTAATGACAATAACAAAGACAATGGAAATTGATAACAACGGCAATTAAAGTATATAAAGAAGACACAAATTTAACATGGTTCGGTCAAATTGACCTACGTCCACAAGCGGAAAAGAGTAATTTCACTATACCAATAAGAGTACAAAATTAGAGTAAACACTCTAATTAATTCCAAATACCCCAAGAGAATAACCTCACAAGATCACTCCAAAGAAAGGGTTCACACAAGTGCTTCCCAACACTTAACTCTCATACAAAACACTCTTAATAAAAGGAAGAAACAAGAAATGAAGACTCAAGTCTTGTTGGTGTATATTTGGTGTGTCTAAAATGAACTAATAACCTTCCCTTTTATAGGCAAAAAAGTCTTGGCTCTCTTAGGTGTAAAAGAAGAGATACAACTTGTACAAATGATGTCCACCACATAATGCAATATTTTTGGGTCCCAAAAAATATTGCCAACAAAGTCTACTTTGCAAACATGCTTATGTATGATGGAATCCATTAGCCAAAATATTGGCCATAATTACTTTGTCTTTTGCGCTTTTTCAGATTCCACAACCCAGGCCACTCAATTTGATCTTTCGTTAACCGTGAAGGTAGGACTGGGAATGAAAACCAAACTTTGAATGATATTAGTTATTTGTATTTTTTTTCCTTTAAATACTCAGTTGTAGTTCTTCTCTTGTGATTCAGAGGAAAGCAGCAGAAATATCTCCAGACATGAAAGGAACTTGTATCTTCCTTGTTGGTGGGCATTACTTTTCTGCCTCCATTTTAGCATTCTCTTTGTTTCTTGTCTAATTTTATCTAGTTTGTGTCTCAATCCCAAATTGGCTGGGGTTAGATATATAAATCCCTCGTATTTATCATAGTTGGAATATCTTTAGCTAGCTCGTCATCCTACTGCAACCCTCCTCCTTTATTCAGGCTTCAGACTGGTTATGCTTTGCGAAAGTCACTGATGCAGATTTATCTTATCCAATTTGTGTTGCTTTGAACTTACAGGCTTAAACAGCTCCATCAAATCCAACTCGGGAAAACTTCTTGCAGATGCACTGCGCTATTATTATTTTGACAGGTTATACATTTAAGTTGCTTGCGGGAACTAGTGCTACAATAATAACCATGTCTAGTAACTAAAGTTGTTGCCTTAATCTGTTGCAGTGACAGTGTCGTTGAAGAAGCTTTGGGAGGAAAGGATGCTGTCAGGTCATTTGTGAAGACAGACTTGAAGGGCTTTCGAGACTCAGAAGTGACTTTCTAATGTCCATATGCAGTGTTTTCCTGTCTTTTACTGCTTTTCTGTGTTGAGATTTATGACCGAAATACACTTTGCAATGCAGACAGAGGTACTGAAGCAGTTATCGTCCATGGGTCGCCTTGTTGTTGGTGCTGGGAATGGTGCGGTTCAGCGTGCAGCTAATCTGTAGGACAGCTGCTAATTGTATTTCCCCCCCCNTTGTATTTTTTCTCCCCTGTCAAACAGGAAGAGGAAAAAAGAATAATCACTTGTTCTTGATCATACTTGATGTTTGTAGGGCGCTTATGAGACACGGCATATCAATATGGATCGACGTCCCCTTGGATATGGTAGCCAAGGAAATTGTGGAGGAGAGTTTTCAACCTCCTGCTGCTGAAACAATACAAGGATCATATCCCGAGGTCTATTTCTGTCTTTCTGATGACTTCCACCCAAAAAAGTTAGACAAACCCGAATATTTTGCTCATATTCCTTGTTAATCTTCCTTCTGTTAACCTAATGGTGCCTCTTGTTTGTGGATTTCTTCAGCTGTTGGGCTATGCTGATTTTTAGCCTACCATGGTAACAGGTGTTGACTCAATTAACTGCTATTTATGAAGAAAGCCGTAAGGGATATGCTACAGCTGATACAACTATTGCACTCCAGAGTAATTTGCTATTTGCTTCATAGTCAGTAGCACTAACGTCTCTTTTGCTGTATTTTTAACAGCTTATTTTACATTTGCAGAGGTTGCTTCTCGGTTAGGCTATGATACATTAGATGCAGTAACCGCAGAGGATATGGTTTTGGAGGTAAACTAAAAATTCCCCATGAAGTGGGAGGATTTTTTTTTTTTTTTTTCCGCTAATTGACCGTGTAAGGTAAATAGACTTTCTATTTTTTATGGTGATTTTAGACTCTGAAGGAGATAGAGAGATTGATGAGAGTAAAGAAGTTGATGGAAGAAGCTGCCAGGCCATTTTAGTTTCGATCACAACCAATGCCGACTATCTAGGTTAGTTCTTATCAGCATTGTTCCAAGGGGTGTTTGATAGTTTCTTTTAATCTCATCCTGCTAATTAACTAGATTTTGGATTTATATGCCGTTATCATTTAGAAAACCTGAGATTATTCTTGATGTGTCATACCTCTTGCTAGGCTTGCTCTTCTTGATGCAGGCAACCTACGGCAACCAAACTATCAAGTCACTCGGTCCTTTCATTCATCATATATTTTCTGCTTCTACCAGTGTCGGTGATAATACATTAGCTGCATCTAACCTTGTGGTATATGGATCTTCATGTGGAAAAAGAATTAGATCAAATAAAATAGTACATACCAGAGAGTGAGATGCTGAATCCTGAAGTTACATTTGTGGATTTGACTAAGATGATGTGGGGAGTTCGAGAGGGAAGACTAAGAAGAAGATAAAGGAAGGGTGTAGGGAGGAAAAATGGAAGCACTTAAGAGGTTTTGACAGCAAAGACATGCTTTGACGAAGCTGCCCAAGAAGGATGTCTGTTTTCAAGGGGAAAACAGAGAAAAATCAGTGTTACTTCCTACTAATTGCATTAGTCATTTAAAAGTTCCATTAAAAAATGCCGATGAACTTAAGAATGACTAGAAAACAGTATATTGTTGACCAAAATAATCATATTGAACAAGTCTTAGATGCACAACTGTGACTTATAACAAAAAAGTCTTAAACATACAATTGAATGCGACGATTCTATTATTAGAATATCAAATGAAAGATTTTGAAATTATTCGAATTATTATGTGCAGAATCAACATTTATTGTTTGGAGCCTTAAGTGCTGTGCTGAAGTTGGAGAAAGATGGCAATACTTGAAGCTCTTGCAATTGAATGACTTCTAGTATTGTGAGTGTAATTCTTAAGCGGCATGTATATTGTGAGTATTGTTAATATTGTACTTTTGTGCACATTTGTATTTTACTGTGGTCGGATGAAACTCTTCTAATTGCCAATCTGCAAAATAAGTTTCAACTACCTAATACTTAATAGTTAAACATTTAGCAACCGAGCAACTCCCACCTCCAAATCTTTTGCTTCCGTTTATATGCAGTTAACGCTACAGCCTTGTTCTATATAGTAACCATACACCTATATTTTTGTTGTTTCAGTTTTTCCTTTGTTTTTTTTTCAATAATAAAAAGGGTACGACACGCTGCTTGTAAATTTTTCAGCTATACATACTATTGTCCTTCAGATGGTGTGTTTTAAGCAAGAAGTTGGCTAAATTCGTTTGACAAATTTCAATATTTAGTTTTGCGTAATATTATTTGACCTTTTTTGGTTATTCTTAATCAGAAGCACACAACTCACACTTACCGATTCCCTTGCCTCTAAGGGGTCGTTTGATTGAGAAACAAGTTATCCCATTATTACTTATCCTGGTTATCCACCCTCCCATGAGTATTAAAAATACTACAATTCTGGGATAACTAATCCTAAGGTTAGTTCTACCATGATTTTATCCCAACCAAATGTGAGATAAACTCATCTCAAATTTAATCCCGGAATTAATTATTCCTTATCCCTCGTACCAAACGAGCCCTAATTGTAACATGCTCGGGTTTGAATGGGCAGCGCATAATGCAATGTTGGATAAAGGAATCAAAAAAATAAAATAAATAATTCTCTGGATCTCATTAGCAAATGACACTAGAAAATTCATCCTCAGGTTTTGGAGGGGTTGGTGAAGACGTAGCATTTTCACATATGCGTTTCAAATCATTCAGATTATTTACAATTAAATCCTCAAAATCTGACCTCTTCTGTAGTTGAGTTTCACTCAATTTTATATATATATCTGGGCCTTATCAGAACAATAATACTTTTGGGACGTTTAATCCAGGGTGAACTGGTTATAAAGGGAAGGAGGGATCGAAATTTTGCAAAGCTAATAATATCAATGCAGTGCTTAATTAGAACAAATAAATTAAGACACAGCTGTGTGCCTGGGTAGATATATACTAAGTCTAGTAGTTTTATGTTTTAATTAGGCATGTTGTTAAAGCTCGAGAGACTTAGGTCCTGTATAATGTTGAATGGAGCAGTCAAATCAATGGTGAAAGGTGCCAAGTCTGTTTTGTTCAAACATATAACTTGATATTAGATTAGCTTTGAACTGGTTGGTGAAGCAGTCCTAATCCATTTCAGGAAAGGCTCGTCCAAATTGGACCTACAAGGTTGCCTCTCTTTCTCTTTGTGATTTTATATGTTTTCTTTTGGGTGAAAGTAGAAGTGATGTTTGGTTGTCGAAATAAAAGGAGATTGAAGGCCATATATCCTAGTACGTTCCATAAAAGGGAAGAGTGTTGGATCGGACTAGCTATCGAGGATGACGCAGTTGCTGAAAATTTTATGCAGAGGCCACACAGCCATGTGCTGACTGCTGATACCAATCCTTTTGAATTCTTTATTACTTTCCCTATTCCATTTATGTTCACTTTTTGCTTCCTAAAATTCAAACTATGTGAATTTTAATCAAGATTTAAAATACTTTTTTATATATATATATTGTTATGAGAAGATTTGTAGTAACTTATAGTAATACTTTTCGTATAGTTTTTAAATATTCAAATTTTAATTTAAAATGTTGAGTTGATCTTATCCAATTTAGAGCCCGTTTGTCCATGATTTTTTTTTCACTTTTTTTTTAAATGACAAATGCTTTGTGGGATTTTTCTGGGTTTTTTTTTTTAAATGAGTGTTTGGCCATAAAATTTCCAATTTTCACTTGAAAATGAATTTTGGAATTTTTCAAAAATTTGAAAAACTCCAAAAAACCGTTTTTTAAAATTTTCACTCAGATCACTCACAAAAATTCAAAAACAACCCAAAACTATATTCATGTCCAAACACAATTCTAATTTTCAAATACCATTATCACTTGAATTTTTTTTTTCACTTTTTTTCGGAATTTTACAATTCTTATGTCCAAACTCCCGGTTAGCTTATTAGTCAAATTAACTTTCGAAAAGCGAAAAGTATGATATAAATTGGGATTTCGATGAAGTATTACTATGACTATTTAGTGTATTTATATACATTGGTGAGTGAGCACAATACACATAAGTCATATCTACATTCAGACGCCTACTTTAATTTGGTAGTCTATCTTAGCTTGGGCAGTTGCGAGTGAGAGGGAATAAAGAGCAGTTTTGGAAACTCCGACAGGAATTATATGATGATAATGATAGGCTCATACTTCCCACTCTCCTCTATTCAGTACAGTTCTAGTTTAGTTCCCTCCTCTCCAAGTCTCCATCATATATCACCAAACCAATTGTTTCTTTTTTAACTTATATTTCTTTGACACTTGTCTCTTAATTGTCATCTACTGTAACAAACAAACTGCAGCATTGCTGGGGTGCGTTTGTACGACATAACAATCACTGCAGCCAAGTAAGTGGCCGGGTGATTCCTCAGTCTCTCTCCCCTTCCTGTCCTTTTGGTACATTTCATATCTTTTTTGTTCCTTTTATAATGAACCACCGATCAACAACGACCCAGTATAATCCCGTTAGTGGGGTCTGGGGAGGGTAATATGTACGTAGACCTTACCCCTACCCCGAAGGGTAGAGAGGCTGTTTCCAGGATAATGAACCACCGATCATGTTAATTAATTAGTACTCCACATCACATCTCTTTACTATAATTCTAATTATTTCTAGCTTTTCTTTTTAAATTTTCCCCCTTATGTGCGTCATCGTATAAGCCTTTCAAGTTAAAATAGCACGGGGTAGCTAGTTTTCGAACTGGTTGTTGAAAAATAGCCAGCGTTTGCAAAGTTATTGAAAAATAGTCACTATTTTGCTGCAACACGGAAAGTTCCAGCATAATATACTGAAGATCGGTGCACCTGTGTATGAACTTCCAGCATATTATGCTGGATCGGTATATTATACTGGAACTCCAGTATATTATGCTGGAAGTCCAATATATTATGTTGGAGTATTTTCGGATTTTGAATAATATTTTCGTTCAGATTTATCTTTACATGAAAAGTGGCTAAATTTCGATTACTTTTAAAATTGAGGCTATTTTTGAATGATCACTTGTAAATCTTGCTATTTTTGAATTTCTCCCGTCTTTCAATCGTTACATCAAAGAAAAAACAAAACACAAAATATTTTAATCTATTTGGCTTCCTGTCTAAGTGTAGTTTCTGAAATAGTCATTCAGGAGTAGTACTAGTTGACATAACTTAGGTGTGTATCACCATACCTCTAGAATAGGAGTAGGACTCCATTTTAGGATTGTTTAGTAGTGTAGCCATATTGGGTAGGGTGTTATTTTAGTGATTTATTTGAATTCAAAGTTAAATGTGATTAGACTTCCCTTTAATTTTGTGTGTCAGAATTATAATATACAAGGAATTGTTGAATGCAGATACACATATCCTCACATTCATCTTGTCAATCACCTCTTTTCCTTAAAGATATGAAAGTTGTTAAACCCCACCCCNCAACAACAACGACCCAGTATAATCTCACAAGTTTATATATACCTCAATAACAACAGTCTAGTATAATTTTATAAGTGGGGTATGGAAGGATAATATGTACGTAGACCTTACCCCTACCCGAGGGGCAAAGAGGCTGTTTCCAGGTTCTCATATATACCATGTATCCTTTAAACCGAACCAGTGTGAACCTAATCCTCTTAAAGAGTGTTACTCCTAGTGAGTCTATAACTTTAACAGAATCAGGACTGCAACTATATGTAAAGGATAAAAGAAACTAAATGATGAGGAATCTACACGTTGAACAACACTCGTTTCGATTGTTAATTAGGTCAAATTTAGCATGATAAAAGTCCTAACAAATTAAATGCGCGACAAATAGTGTGTCGCACCCCACCCCAATGTCCTTAATTTTAACAGCCCACTATAATCTTACAAGTGAGATTTGAGGAGGATAGTGTATATGTACGCAAACATAACCCTTACCCTGGTGGAATAGAGATGCAGTTTCTAATAGAATATGTCCTTAATTTCATACTCTATAAAATGTACCTTATGTAACTTGTAAAGTTGATGCTATGTGACTAGGAGGTCACGAGTTCAAGTCGTGAAAATAGATTCTTGCAGAAATGCAGGGTAAGGCTGCGCACAATAGATCCTTATAATTCGGCCCTTCCCCGGACCCCTCACATAGCGAGAGCTTAGTGCTCTGTGCTGCCCTTTTATGTAATGCCAAAAAGGTAGATTTTATAAACTTGTAATGTAAATTAAGAGCTTTCACAATATTAGAGTACATAAAAACCAAATAAATGAAATTAACTATTTTATAATAATAAATGTGGATTGAGAACGTGTGAAGTGATAAATCTATTATTAATACAACTTATTAATTAAGTACACTAATAATGAGTTATCATTATTAGTGATTACATGCATGCAATTTGACGATGACAACAACAACAACCCAGTATAATCCCACTTAGTGGGGTCTGGAGAGGGTAGTGTGTACGCAGACCTTACCCCTACCCTAGGGTAGAATAGACCCCCGGCATCCTTCCCTCCAAGAGAACTTCCCACCTTGATCTTGGGGAGACTCGAACTCACAACCTCTCGGTTGGAAGCGGGGGTTGCTTTTGATGATGACAAAATTAGTAAAAAGTGTTGAAGTGCCCCCCTAATTGAACAACTGTAGAAAAGTGGGGTAGAGATAGATAGATACAAACAAATTAAACAGAGGCAGAAACACTCTCTATTTCTCTCTGCTCTGCCAAAATCTGTCACCATTTGCAACAATTCCCTGCTCTCACTACGTACTGCTTCTCCTCCTTCCACTTTTTCTGATCACTACTCTCTCTATATATAATACTCCATTCTCATCATTTTCACATACATTTCTCTCTTTTCTTGTATCTCTAGCTACAGCAACAATGGCCGATCCCAACCTAGTTTACGACTTCTGGAACCAACAGCAGTACTCTAATTCCACTGAAATGGTGATGATGTCTGATATCAATGTTGCTTCTCATCTGAATCAGCAGCAGCAACCCATTCCTATCCCAAAACCCAATAAGCCAAAGGTACAACCTTCAAGAATGTTCTCCTGCCTTTACTGTTCTCGCAAGTTTTGCACTTCTCAAGCTTTGGGTGGTCACCAAAATGCTCACAAGCGTGAAAGAGCCGCTTCTCGTCGTACTATGTTCCCGGTCACCGGCACCGACTCCGACAACCGTAATATGGTACACTTCCATTTTCTTCAAAATAACAACAACGACAAGCAGCTGGAGCCTAGTTTGAATAATTATCCTCTGATGACCGGCCAGATGCTGCCTGAACAAAACATCATCGACATTAATGGTAACATTAATCATACTACTACTACTACTTATAGTAACCCCTATGCTAATTACTGTAGCGGTCAGCTCCAAACACCAGCTTCAAACAATATCAACGTCTTTAACCCTTTCTCCTCCTCTGACGTTTTTCATCCTCCTCCGGTACCGACTCTTGGACTCGGCGGCCGTCATGTCTATTTTACTAGCGGTGATGCTACTCTCTCGACTGCACAGGATTTGTCTTCTATGGATAATCACCAGCTCAATCTTGACCTTACCCTTCGTTTGTAAGAGAGAAATTGGCTGGGTATTGTGGGGTGATGCTCTGCGTTTTTCCTTTTTCTAGTCTTTGTAAGAGAAAAAAGAAATTCAGTCTTATTCGAGTTTTAGTCTTTAGAATATTAGCGAGCTACTAAGCATTAGTTTTCGAAAAAAAATTCAGGGTATTGAGTTTTTTTTTAAAAGAATAGAACGAGCAACTCAAGCAGTTACACTCATGGCCGGCGTCAGATCTAGTTCATTTACTACTAGCTAGATAGGACGTACTAAAGTAGTCTTAATTCCCTGTAGTTAAAAAGTTTTACAGATGAATATCATGAATTCTGTTGAGCTTCTTTTCATTTTCATTTCAAGTTTGAAGGGAAGCTTTGTGTTACTGGTAAAGTTGTTGATATGATGTGATCAGGAGGTTACGGGTTCAAGCCGTGGAAACAGCCTCTTGCAGAAATGCAGGGTAAAACTGCGTACGATGACCCTTGTGGTTCGGCTCTTCTCCGAACTCGCGCATATAGCGGGAACTTAGTGCAGCGCACTGGTTTTTTTTTCCTTTCATTTCAAGTTTGTTTATTGCTTTTTTGAGCCGAGGGTCTCCTGGAAACAGTCTCTATCCTTCGGGGTAGGGGTAAGGTATGCGTACATATTATCCTCCCCAGACCCCACGTGTGGAATTATACTGGGTCGTTGTTGTTTGTTGTTTGTTTGTCATTTCAAGTTTGTATTTATCGTAATTAAACCATAGCAAATTCTGTGAATTCAGCTAATGTTTCGTCTCCTCTTTGTTGAAAGCTCCAAATGAACTGCTTATCCAATATGTAAACAAGTGGTATATGTGTACTATGTTTTGGAGAGGCCAGGGTTGGGTAGGGGGGGAGAGGGTTAAGAAAACTGTAAAGCTGAAAAAGTGATGGTGGCTCCCACTTATTAAAATTTTAAATTCAGTTAATCGATTAGTAATTTTAGTTTGGGTGTGAATAGAGTATATATCAAGAAAACTGATTGTTATGGATAATATCATAATTTTGAGTAGGAATAGTATGTGCAGTAGTAGTAGTAGTTATTTATAGTTGCATGCATGCATAGTTCAGAAGATATATATACTCTTTGATGTTCAAGCAATGTGTAATTAATGAGAATGTGATATTGTATGTCTTTATTAACTACTTATGTTATTCAATTATGGAGCAGAAAAGTGAGTAAAAGAAGTAATAGGTGGTTTTGTCTTTATTTATTGATTAAGTACTAGTTAGTATAATTAATTTTTACGTGTGTTTTCTGCAACCCCCACTTTCAACCGAGAGGTCGTGAGTTCGAGTCTCCCCAAGAGCAAGGTGGGAAGTTTTTGGAGGGAAGGATGCCGGGGGTCTATTTGGAAACAGTCTCTCTACCCTAAGGTAGGGATAAGATCTGCGTACACACTACCCTCCCCAGACCCCACTAAGTGGAATTATACTGGTGTTTTCTGGAGTGGATAACATAATTAATACAGTGAGATACTCCCATTTAATTTATTCTGCTGTCGTGTAGCCCCAACAAAGTTAGCATTCTGTTGAGCTTCAAAACCAACCCCTTTTTATTACTTTACTACAATATAAAACCATTCCTAATTTGTTCATTCTTCTGATTCCCATTATTACTTAATGTACACAATACTAGTTCTAAAATAGTACCTTATATTATACTCTGCAACACAACATTAACTACCGCTACCTCCAAAATAGGGAAATTAATTACTATTACGTAGTTAAAAAACATGCTACATATAATGGCATATGTAATATTAGCATTAGACTTGCTACAATCGCTTTTGACTGATTTCTCTTACTATACTTGGGACAATCGATGGAGGGACCACCACCACCTAAACGTCTTTTGCCTAATCAAATTTGGTCCTTTTTTTTAAGTACTTTGTATTTTTATATTTTGTTGAGAGCAAACTTGCAAGAAAATGTCTAATTTTGTTTTTGATAACCCTGTCCTTGAGGTGGCCATATAGGGCGGTAACATAGGCGGATCCAGGATTTTAAGTTTATGGGTTTCTGTCGCAATTTCAAATTAATATACAATAATAATTGGGTTCACAAATAGATATTTAATAATTTTTTTAACAAAAATACAGGGTCTACGCAAAAGTTACTGGGTTCCCGGGAACCCGTATACTACACGCTAGATCCGCCCCTGGGTGGTAATATGCCCGCAACTCACAGACCAAGGCTCTCGGCGCATTTGGCTATTACTAACAGCTTGTTTGGATGATTGTTACATGTTATTTCATAATGTATCTTCCTTATATTGTATTGTACTTTTTCTTTACGAATACAAGGATAAATTGTATTGTTTACCGTCGTTGCATGATATCATGTACCAACAATATGAACAATAAACTTGCAATATTACAAAGAAACAGTATGGTACGAGGTAAAATTATTATATAAAAGGTAGGATAAAGGATAAAATATGATTATTTAATAAGAAGAAAAGGCAGAACGAGAGGAAAAAATAAGGTAACGAAGCGACCACACCAAAATAATGAAATTAACGATACGATATAATAAAATTTAAGTAACTATTAAAATAAAGACTATATTAAAGTAACAATACAATACAATAGGTAACAATCATCCAAACAAGATATAACGAAAAATCAATTTCTGTTTTATGTGCGTTTAGCTTTCACTTTCCCACACGTCAACAAATAGCTCAACTCAAACATTAATCTAAAGATTTTTTTAACAAAACTTTTTTTTATTACGTCAGGTGATCGGAGGGGGAAGGGGATTAACCTAAAGATTAAGGATACGTAATTGATGTGGATATGATGAAAGGGCCCACCTAACATATAAACATTTCCTTAAACCTTTCCCATGCCACATTATATTATGTAAAGGTTGATCATCTCGCAGCAAACTGCTAAGAGCTTTTAGAGTTCCTTCTTTTAAGATTGTTCACACAAAATATTCCAGAAAAAGAACTTGTAAATCAAATCATTGTTTTCTTCTGATACAAACACAGAAAAGAAGGTAGCACCTTTTTTATTTTTGTTTTTCCTTTCAAAGACGAAAGGTGCCATATTTTATCAAAGGAAAAGAAAAGAATTTTTATTTTTATTTTTTTTGGTTAAAACGCAGCACAAAAGCAAAGAATTAGATACGTGAAGAATAACTATAGATCAAAGGTGGGAACCTCAGAATCAAAACCATGGCTAGCCTGGTAAACTATTCGGGCCATTATGTTCCTATATGGATCATTCTCTCTTTTCTCCTTCAGGAAATGAATGCATCTCTCAACCTCAGACTTCACTTCCAAGTATAATTCATGTGCTTTTTCCCTGCTTTTTAATTCCTCCTTCCTCCCTGCAACACCAAATAAAATGCCATCAAATATCACCTCCAGGCTTTCCCCAGCATGGAAGGTTAATACTGTGATGTACTTTAAGAATTACCTTCTGTTTCAATTGGCTTGCCGAAGTAGAAGTAAAAACGGCCGGGAAGTTTTGGAAGAATGATTGGAAGATGTACATCTTGGTTTGCAACCTCTCCTTCAATGTCATTTCTGTATTCACATACAAGACAACATTCCCAGGTGATATTTAACTGTCACTCAATCATGTGGTTCGCAAAGTGGCTTTTAGCTCAACTACCTTCTCCATGCAGCAAATAAGTTTCCAACTATCAAAGCAAAGGTCCATTGACTATCACAATATAGAGACTAATGGTATGTTTAGTATGAGAAGTCATTTTTCATAAAAATATTTTCTGCTAAATTTAAACTTCATATTAATTGTTTCAACTAACACTTGGACATTGTTATTGATCTTTACTACTCAAAATTTCATCAAACCATTCTCCTATGTGCTAATATTATTATGAAATCTTTAATATACATTTTTTTTCATAAAACATTTTCCACCCACCAACCAAACACCAGAACAAATCAGAAACACCGTTTCCATGAACATTGACCTCCATCATATCAAACACACTCTAAGTCAGATAAAATAACGAAAGAACAAACTTGATACCTTAGTTTCTCCACCTCATCAGTTAACTCCTCTATCCCAGCCTTGAAATAGGGAATCTTCATCAGGTCATTGTAATCAAGGAGCATCTGTTGAAACTTGAAGGTTGGTGAGTCAACAAGAGGATGAATTCTAATGATAAAAAAGTTGCTAAATTTCCTCCAATAAGGAAAGCTCTCAATGTTACTCGCAGTAGATCAAAAGTTAGAATAACAACCCACCATAGAAAAGCATATTCATTTTATGCCTTCTTCAAGAAAGAGCTTTGGGGTAGTCAGATCTGTCGACGTAGTTGAACAAAATTTTCCAATTTTATCTTTCAACATAAAAGCAAAAGAACATTTTCTCCATGCTAAACTGAGCTTTGGAGGGACATCAATTAGTAGATGAAAGTCTTTTTATATTGAGCAAAAAATCATGACCAGCCAAATAATGACTAAATTTTCTGCTTACAAGAGCTGCTTTCTTACAATCTACTTATGGTAGTTACTAGACAAGTTTCGATACATCCATTTGTAAACTCTGTTTCTTTTCCCTTTCAAAATGAGAATTGTGTAACCTCAGCACCAGAAAAAACCTAAGGATTCAGTTTGATTAATAAAACACTGTTATGGCACTGAAGCCACAAGCTGTTTTGTGCCTGCACACGTTTTCCATTTGCCTTTCAACAATGATTTTCCATCTTGATTGTCATAAGTATTCAACATTGCTTTAAGCATTTCTTTTTATATTTATATTTCTAAATGTACTTGTGCATCCCAAACAAAACAAGCTCAACTTTTGTATTGAAACACATGGACCAGAATAGATGTGCATGTTCTGATTTAAATTATTCAAAGAATGTAAACTCATGAGACTACCTGGCCAATATCATCTTCTCCCACCGTACCAAAAGGTATAATTTTCGCTCCAAATCTAGCTGCCATCCTGACAAATTCAGACTGTTCTGGCCAGAATAATTTGTACTCCTCCCCCTGAAGTTAGAAGACCAAACTGT